GAGGGGGGGGGGGGGACTCAAAACAATCAGAAACTGCATCTTCCTCACAAGGAAAGAAAGATATCATCAATTAATGGATTCCAATTGCCATGGTTATATCCTAGACACAGTATAAATGACAGAATACTAACAGAACAAAATATGAGTTACATACTTTTTCAATTCTCGATTTTTACATGGAAAGATCGCACCTTTGCAGCGGAAATGAACAACCCACCACAGTTATTCACTGAGATTAGCAAATGAATCCTCGTCCATTTCACAGTCGTTGTCATTGTGATCCTCATCATCATCATCTTCGTCGTCACCCTCTTCACTTATCTTGGCAATTTCAGCTTGACTTCTCTCCAGAATCTGCTTCTTCTGCAACTCCAGCTCTCTTTGGAAATCTGCTCTCATCTTCTCCAAATCCCTCATATGCTTTCTTTTACTGTTCTCGATCCTCTCGTATATTTTCCCCAAGCTTTGAACCGAATCTGCTAATAGCCTATATGAGCCTGAATCAATAACCTTTCTCCCTCTATCCTCGGTATCGTCGTCATCTTCTTCTTCCTCTTCATCTCCCGTCTCTGAAGCACCGGGACTATCCATCATCTCGTCGAATCTATTAGATTTGTCCAAATAAACCCTCGCGCTCATGAACACAAACTCTCCTGAATCAAGCCCACAAGCTAAACCCGAATCCGACCGAGGAGACGACCCCAATAGCATATCCAACTTGTTGAAGAATACCCATTTGGTCGATCCCGATCCAGATTTCTCCAGCTTCGCTTTCTCTTTCTTGTACTTCCTCTTCAATTCGTCCATCATACTCCGACACAGCGTCTCCGACTTCTCACCCCTCAGCTCCTCGCTCACTTTCTCTGCAACTTCGTTCCAGTCTTCATTTCTCAGGCTTCTCCTACCCAATTGCAAGAACCTATCTCCCCAAACCTCCAACAACACAAATGCCTCGTGCTCTGTCCATTGATGAGCTAATTTAGCGTCGCTCGGTCCCGCGAACTCGTACCCATATACGGATTTGATCTGCTTCTGCCTCTTGGGAAACCTTTGTAGCCCCTCACTCGACCCCAATTTACGATTATTATAACCTTGTGGCACGCCGTCTTCTCCATCGTCCTGCTCCGGATACTCGTTGAGTTCATTACCCTCTTCCTCTTCGTCGTCACCTTCTTCTTCCCGGTAATACGCGTGCCGCTTAGGGATTGGGCGACTGTACATCGGATGCTTTTGGCGATTCAGAGAGTAAAGCTTCTTTGAATACCTAGCATCATCTTCGCTTTCATCCATCTTTGAGCACAAACCCAAAGAAAAAAAAAGGAGAAATCTTGGGTTCCTGCTACAAGATTACCTAATTCTCCGTCACCGGAGAAACGCCCGTCACCAGACCCTCCATGACTGAGCTCGACAAGAGGGGATCACTGGAGATTGAGCATGAACCCACCACCGACATCCAGGGTTTTGATATTCGGGTTTCTCGCCGGGTCGGACAAAGAAGCACCGGTGACAAACGAAGCCGACGACGGAGTTTTGTCGCGGTCATCTGCTGGGCCGTCGAGGAAAGCTAATTGGGCCACAAACTATTCTCATATATGGTCTTTACGCAGCCCCATAAGCGTGTTTATCAGTTTATTTTAAAAGAATTTATTAAATCCAAATTGTCATTCGTCCAACTTCAATTATATATATATACATGGGCGGATCTACGTACATAGGAGTGGGGTCCCATGCCCCCACTAATTTAGGTAAAAAAAATTGATTTAGTTATAAATTTTATAAAATTTTAATAAAAAATCTAAAATGTCCCCTATATAAATGTTATGTGCCCCCTTCGTTCTAATTTTTTTAAAATTATTTCGTTAAATTAAACAGCTATCTAGTTTTGTTTTACTTTTGATTTTTTATCTATTTTTTAATCATTCATATTTTTTTCTAAAAAATATATACAAATCTAATATTTAATCACAAAGAACAATTAATTTTGTTAACAATAAAATTAAAAGTATGTAAATGTTACGATTTTTATTTTAAGTAATTCTTATTTTTTTGGTTTATTCATTAGTTTTTATATTTTGATTATACTTATAAATTTATTATTATATATATTTATCTACATCATTAATTTGATATCAATAATTTGATAGAAGATTATAAATTGTTTAATTTGATTAGTTTTGAAGATCTTACTCATGTTATGATAGAAATAAAAAAATATATCTTTCATATTTATTGGTATATAGACTTTTAAAATTGGTTTTAATTTTGCTCGTGATTGTTGATAGATGTTTTTTAGCGATAAACTTTGTGAAGATAATTTTCCGCAATAGGATTGATAATCAGTTTTTGAGTGATTGTCCAATTTATTTCACCAGAAAAAGATATATTTTAGTTATAAATAAAATTATTATGTATATACTAAAAAATGAAATACCATAAAATTTAGTTGTAGGACATATAAATATTTTTATGATGATATATTTTTATAATTTTTTTTGTATTTTATATAAAATTTATAACTATTGCCCCCAGTAAAAACAAATTTTGGGTCCGCCACTGCATGCATGAAGTGGCTAAAAACGACGTCGTACTAGGTGGAGGCCGCATCAGAAACAAGTGGAACCTTTAGGGTTCATCTGGTTGTACCGCAACGATTGTGGTTACGGGTGATAACGTTTTCAGAGCGATTATAAACGATTAATATTGACTGGTTGATAAATTGTTGTTGATAGCAGTTACAGGTGGATACGGGTTAGAAGTGAATGGTTCGTTGCGGTTGCGGTTATATTTTGATATAATTTATCAAAAATAATATTATTTTAAAATATTTTTTTATAATAGTTTAATTAAATTTTTAGAATCATTTGATAAAAATTATTTACTAAATTTATAATAATTAAATAATAAATCTAAAATATAAATATTATCAATTTATTTTATTTTTAAATAAAAAATAGTTTTATTATAAAAAATATTAAAAATAATCATTATTAAACCTAAAAATTATACTATTGTATTTTTTTATTAAAATATAATACTAGAAAATAATATCAAATCATAACACTAAACAAAAATTATATTATATATATATTAGTGTTTATATAGTTTTTAATAAAAATATTTTAGTTTTTTTGGTCAAAACTCTGGAAACCGCTATCAAAACACAAGTTGAAAACTGCGATTAGAAAACACAAGTTTAGTTGCGGTTGCGAATGGTTGTGATTCAACTAATTAGTTTTTTAATCACCTGCAACCGCCGAAAATCGCAAACGTTCCATTTGCGGATAGCGGCGACGCAATAGTCACCCCTTTAAAGGTCGTTCCTAAATTTAGTTTTCATGATTTATCAAGAATACGCAAGAAAAGCAGTTATTCTTTTCCTCTTTACTTGTCTATTAATAACCAAACAAATTATTCCAAATTATACTATTTATACTCTTTAAGCGTGTATGTGTATAATAAAATGTAGTTTACAGTAACTTAAAACATAGTTTAATGGGACTATGAATAGTTTTAAAATTAAAATTAATAACATAAATAATTTAAATACCATGTTTTCTTATAAATTCGGTAACACCGACACTCCAAAAGAAGAAATGAAAGTCAACAGTTCAACTGTCGTCGCCCCGCGTCGCATATATTCTGATTTTTTTAAAAAAAAATGAGAAACCAAATGAATATAATACAGAAATTAAACCAAATTTACCAATTTTAAAATTTTGATAAAAAAAATAGTAGTAAAGAAACTTGTGACACGACCAAATCTGACCGGCAAACCATTCATTGTCATTAATTAGGTTGTATATATCTTCACGGTCAACTGACTCCTCCCTTAACCACCTTTTTTTTTTTGCATTATTACTAATATAAATAGATATGTAGCTGCTGATTTTATCCTAAAGTTTGTTGTTGTGAATGAAAAAATAAACAAAACAAAACATCATTAATTAATGTTAACTAAACATGATTAGTTTGAATAATGTCATCAGATGTCCTTCTTCCGCCGCGTCCATCTCCATATGCGCGTTTACACCTTGTGACTTATCCTTCTCATAACCATTGTTCATTATTATTACTATTATTATTATTATTATTATTATTATTATTATTGTTGTTGTGTGTATCATAAAACAATGAAATCCTACGAAAATGATATTATTGGCAAGTTTAGCTTAATCATTGTTATAATCCATTTCACTTGGAATTAGTGTTAGGATTGTTGATGTGAATTTTGTTGTATAGCTGTGGTACAACATATCATAAGAACTCGTAAAAAGAATACGTGATTGTAATTGATATTTTATTTTTCAGATGTATTTAGGAATCCTTCCTATTTTATTTTGAACATAATTAGAGATATATTTTTTTTATAATCATTGATAAAAAAAAATTAAATGAAATAATGAAGGAGAATCCAAATTGTATGCTTCATGTCTTGTGCCAATGGAATCAATTATGGCTCTTAAACTATACAAATTGTATTGTACCTGTTTAATTAGAGTAAAAATGAAAAAGCTAACACGATTACTGTAATATTAAATAGTTCAACCATAGATATTTCTGGAGCAAAAATATACGAAATAGTTGTAACTTTGTAGAATCCTAAATCTTAGTACAATGATGTTTTGATTTACTTCAAATTTCAAATTTCATGCAAATCAACCCATCACATTTTTCACGTAAAAATCATACTCCTTCGAGAATATTTATATTTATTTCGATAATTTTTATTTTATAAAGTTATATTTATTTCAATTTTTAACAGTTTTATATTATTTTAAATTTTATTTTCGTTCTTTTTTATTTAATTTTCTCACTTTATCATTTAAGTTGAATAAAATTGAGTTTAAAATAATTATATCGAATCGAATTTGATTATATCTAGATATAATTATGTATTATTTTGAATGAATTTTATGTAATTAAATCAACATTATATATTCGACCGGATTTATGCTCCTCTTAAAATGAGTCTACCAAAGACAATTAAAAAATTTGTAACGAATATTTTCAATCATAAGCTCCATTGTAAAGGAACTAACCCAAATCGAACCATTTAGAATTAATTTATATATATAATAATAAGCTAATAAAAATAATAAACTTATAAAAATGCAATGTGAAAAAAAGGAGAGAGAGAGAGAGAGAGACTAAGCCTGTCCTGTGATCGAGCTCTCTCTCTCTCATTTATATTCCCACCTCTCTCTCTCTCTCTCTCTCTCTCTCTCTCTCTCTCTCTCTCTCTCTCTCTCTCTCCACACACACAATACGAAACTCCCCTTCTTCATCACACTTCAGAGAACGCAAAATCCCTGGCATTTCCCCATTTTGCCCTTCCTCACCCTTCGAATTTTCCTCCTCCTGCCACTCGTCTCAGATCTGGAATCTGGTGTCAATACATATATATATACATATATTTAATAAGAATCAAATTGGTATAGATCTTGATTCTTGAACTAACAAATCCATCCACAAAACATTAAATAGGATTTCATTAGAACTCTAATTAGTCTAAGATAATAGATACCATATTGAAAAATAAAATGCGGAAATTAAATTAGAAAGAAAGAACAAAAGATAAAAGAACGGAAACACTTTTATTGCTACATCTCTTCTTCTTGTTACATTACAATGAAAATAATCCATACATTTATAGGAAAAAATATTGAAAGAAACAAGGAAATAAAGATACGAAAGAAACAAATAAGGCAAAATATAATTATCACGATATATATTTTATTCTTAATCGATATTATGCCTTTAATTGTTATCATCTCTTCTCGGGATAAAGTGTACAAACCCTGTCCTTTTACCAAACCATAAGACAAGATCACACAAGGTTGTCTACAGAGATGACATTGCGAATGCGAACCTGTGTAAGCTTCTTTCTCTCCCTCATGTTTATTCATCGTACATATGGTCAGTTCTAGGGTTTCTTACATGCTAGCTCCACCAAAGGTCTGATCTTTGAATTCGGGTTTCTTGTTTTGACAGCTAAATCGGTTTGAGAAACAGGACAAACTTTAATAATATGGATAGCTCTGATACCATATTGAAAAATAAAATGCGGAAATTAAATTAGAAAGAAAGAACAAAAGATAAAAGAACGGAAACACTTTTATTGCTACATCTCTTCTTCTTGTTACATTACAATGAAAATAATCCATACATTTATAGGAAAAAATATTGAAAGAAACAAGGAAATAAAGATACGAAAGAAACAAATAAGGCAAAATATAATTATCACGATATATATTTTATTCTTAATCGATATTATGCCTTTAATTGTTATCAATCATATCAAATCTCCATATTTTGTTTCTATTTCAACAGTTTCCAACAAAAAACAATCGAAAAAAATTTATATGTATTATATTAGAGTGTTAGGTTTTTCTACCATTTTATTCTAACTTTAAATCTAGAATAAACTCAAATCTCTAAAACTATAATACCAGAGAAGGTTTGACGATATTCGATGGAATTTTTTC